AGATTAGACGCTCCTTGTGTTTATTATTATATTTCGAAAACACCACAGTTTTCATGCAGCTCATACCATATTATTTTGTTGTATTATTTCCGCCACACCTTAAATGCCGGTCCCTGAAAATATTGTCTGACATAAACCGGTCCGTGGGGCAAAAAAGGTTGGGGACCCCTGCTCTAGAGGACATGTTTAACATCAAAAGAAAAACTGTTATCTTAAGTATCTCTGTTGCTGCCATCACATCAAAGCTCAGACCGAAGACAATGGTGGGTAGTGGTGGTCTGGTCTCACCTCACCACTCCCTACTTTTTCCAGCCACACCGGGTCAGATGACATGTTAATTTCTTTGTTTCCGGGATTTGCATGGAGGCGTAACTGCCCGACTCTCATTATCATATTGTCTCTATACCGTATATTCTCATGACTGTATTTTTTCGGGGCTTCTCTGACTCGAACCGAAACTCTCAGGAGCCCGAATCGATTCGTATTATGTTGTGATAAAGTGCAGAAAAGACGATGTGGTGTTGAGTCTTTATTTTGCCTTATAGAGAAATAAAAGAACCTGTGTCCAAGGAGGGCCATAAGAAAATGAACAGATCCCCTCCTCAACAGACCTGACTGCCTTTGTTGACCCTACCCTAAATGGACTGCAGCATACACCTGCCACTATTTAATGTGCTTCTAATGTACCCGCCCCCCCCCCAAAAAAAAACATAGTCACCTTTTACTAACATTTTTATGGCATGAAAAACTGGATACCCCTGAAAAACCGATGAAAAGAAACCTGGCCAACAACAACAGCGAAGAAGCATCAGGCAATTGTGGCCAGTACTGTCTGTTTCATACAGGGGTCCCAAACTCAATTTACGTGAGGCTGCTGGAGATAGAGTCTGGGTGTCCAAAAAAGGGTTTAAGTATAGATCCAGTCCTCTCAATCACTTTAATTTTTCCCATTTAACATGAATTTGAATGTGATTGGCTAATTAAGAACATCATTATCAGGGGATTTGCCAACTTGTGCGACCACATTATATCAGTAGTTTACTTTTTACATCCCCTGTCTAAAGGATTTCACTTTTTTTTTAATGATTAACTCTACATCTCATTTCATGATGTCATAAAACCTGTAATTTGAACAGAGAGTCGACTTTTACATCCACTGCACCATATCGCCTGATGTAATATGATGTAATAAAGCCTGTTTTATTGTTTGTTCAAATATGCAGCATGAATGGTACATGGAGGAAAAGACAAAGATTGACAGTTCAAAAAAAAAGGTAAAACACGACAACATGTTCTTAACTGAAAACAACAGTATAGATTTTGGATGTTGGCGTATCAGTACTATGAGAGATGATCCGACATACATTATTGTGCTATTGATCTTTTGTCCAACCTCTTATTTTTCTCCTCTTGTGCTAATTCAGTGAAATCTTCCTAACTACTAAACAGAATTTTTCTGGCTGACTGCCAAATGCCTGACAAGGAAATGTATCAATATTTCAGCTACTGAGGGTTTCTAAGTAGCACTCTGATACTCCCTTGGCTGATTGTGAAACAATGAGGCTAATTGGGGACACAATGAAATGGCACGTGAAACTTTGTTAAGAACCTTCGCTCCCCTTAACATCTAAAATCTGAAGCAATAAATAATACAGTGGAAGCTTTTGAAGTAAAAAAAAAAAAAAAACTGTTTAGAATTCAACACTCAAAAATGTGGGCAATTTTGCCTATGAATGAGTGCATAGTTATAGTACAGTTATAATGCACAGTTATAATTTGTGTTTTTTTTTGTTTTGTTTTGTTTTGGTTTTTTTTGCTTTTGATTAGATTTTTTGTGTTGGCACAGTTGTTGACTGGTTAGCACGTCCGCCGCACGTTGCAGAGGTGCTTGTGTGGAGTTTGTATGTTCTCCCGTGCCTGCGTAGGTTTTCTCCTGGTACTCCGGCTTCCTCCCACATTCCAAAATCATGTATGGCAGGTTAATGGAAGACTAGTCTCACTTGTCCATAGTTGTGACTCTGAGTGTGCAGTAGTTATTCGTTGTTATAGGTTGCTATGCGGAATTGAAAATGGATGGATAAATCCGCTGATTCTCACGAGGGTCGCAGGCGTGCTGGAGCCCAACCCAGCTGTCTTCAGGCAGTCGGTGGAGAACACTCTGAACTGGTTGCCAGCCAATCGCAGGGCACAGATAGACAAACAACCACGCACCATGACAATCACACCTAAGGACAATTTAGAGTGTTCAATCAGCCTGCCATGCATGGTTTTGAAAGGTTGGAGGAAACCGGAGAACCCGGAGAAAACCCACACAGGCACAGGGAGAACATGCAAACGACACAAAGGATGGCCGGAATCCACCCTGTATCTCTGCACTGTGAAGCAGACGTGATAACCAGTCAACCTCCGTGCCGCCGACTTATATTCAAAGCAGTAAAATTCCAGCGTCACCTTAGATATCAGAACTTGTTATTAAAGATAAAGCTGAATGGATGAAGTGTTTTACGGTTTTATTATTTGTTGTTGATTTGTTTACTGTTGAATTATTTTTACAGTTGTATAACCATCATGTTGTGATGTCATTTAAAAACTGCCTGTACCATTAATAAAGGTTTGATAAGGGCAAATATTTTTCCCCCTTTTTTGAGAACACACATTAAATCCTTTGCACCTTCAGCACCTCAACACATAACCATAAACTGTATTTATCTAAACATTTTCCTGCATTAAAATAAAGGAATCTAGTTGTCCAATTGTTAAATGCTTTCCATTCTATTGTATTACACCTAAATTTCTAAAATTATTGTCAAAGAAAATCGTTGTGACAATCAATTCACAACCTCCATAAAATACACTATAGTCCTCACGTCTTGACTAAAACCGCTCGGTGGTGGTTGTGATCACCGTGAGCTCATTGATAGTGATAAAACCCCTGTCCGGTCAACTTTTCTGGACATTTCTAAACATGACAGACAATGTTTTTAATCCACAAAACGGCTTTGACAGACAAGGCAGAATAAATCCACCCAGTTCTCGTTGCGCACGGCGGCTCGGCAAGCAGACGACAGATGGAAGAGTTCAACCTAGACCGAAGCAAACAGGAAACAACGAGAAGGCGAGCTGCTGTTTTTACATGTTGCTTTCAAATCCCTGTAATAGTAATATATATAACTACACAGAACGGTTCATTCCCGAAAAGGGAATTACTGGGCGCGAGAGAGTCGAGTCACCCTTGTTTTCGAAGTAATGACGCGCAAGCAAAAATACGCGTACATTTTCATGAATCAAACGTTTTTAATGAAAAATAATAGTTCCTGTTTAGCTTGTATGTTTAACAAAATCACACGTATCTCTGCTACCATGGTAACAAACGTGAAGGTGTTTATCGAAAGTACATCGACAAAAACTTGTACGCGCAATATTTCAGATGAACACTTGTCCCTGTTCATTGCTCACCTGCTAATGATGACAGCTCCTTTATACATAACGGAAAAGGTTGGCATCTTGTCATGGAGCCAGTTTCTCCGCCAGAACGGCCGCACGGACGCTCGCTCAGTGTGTCGGGCAGAGCTTCCCCTGCCTCAGCCTCCGAACAGCCGCCGCATAACGATACGCGCTTGTGTGTGTCTGCACAGACACAGGCAGCTGCATTCCGGTAAACCGCCGCCTCCGCCACCCAGTGAACATCACCCACCTTCGCCCGCGCAGTTAATCTGTTACGTAATTTAAAAATCGACGAAAATTTAAAAAAAAAAAAAAAAAGCTTTTGTGTGCGTTTTTAGGGGCTCGACAGCTCCGACTGAAACTGTGGAATGCCTGTTGAACGTAGGGGCAATTTGTTGCTAAGGCTCAAGTGTGTGTGGTAGAAGGTAAAATTCCCCCAACCCCACAGTGTGATCCGATACTGTGCTGGCTTAAGTCACATATTCTCTTGCATGCTATCATACAATTATCCAGCCCATGAGTAAACAAAACAATAATCAACAACCTTGTGTCCTGAATAGGTACTGAAATATTGATTTGGCAATTCCGTCAACTTTCCCACGAAACCACTTGTCTCAGACTCAGCAACGCAATGAAACACAAATCGTTTATTTAATTTGTTTTTAACATGAAAAAAATTGTTGATGAGCCGGGCAGTATATATCCATCCATGCAATTCTGATCCACTTTATCCTAACATGGGTCGAGGGGCATGCTGGAGCCTATCACAGCTGTCTTCGGGCAGTAGGCGGGGGACACCCTGAACCGGTTGACAGCCAATCGCAGAGCACACAGGAACGAGCAACCATCCTCCCTCACACTCACACTGAGGGACAATTTTATATATATATATATGTGTATACACAGTCAAACCTCGGTTTTCGAACGTCTCTGTTCTCGACCAAATCGGTTTTCGACCAAAAAGTTTGAGTTTTTTATGCCTCGGATTACAACCGAAAATCGGTTCTCAACCAAATTGATCGCACTTGAAAATGCCACTCGACTCCTCTCGCCTTCCTTACACAAAGAAGTGGAAGTAGTAAAGCTGGAGAGAAAATAGGAAAATAGTGCACAAAACTATTTGAATTTAAGAAAGATTTGATAGCGAAATATGAATCAGGTGTGCGTGTGTCTGTGTTGGCTAAGGAGTTCAGCATGCCGAAATCGACGATCAGCAGCATTCTAAAAAAGAAAGACCATCTTAAAGTCTCTGATGTGACTAAAGGATCTCGTGTGTTTAGCAAACAAAGGCGACAAATATTAGAGGAGTGGAGAAACTTTTGCTTATTTTCGTCAATGAGAAACAGCTAGCAGGGGACAGTCTTAGCCAAGATACGATTTGTGGCAAAGCAAGACAATTGTATGGAGATTTGATAAAAAAGGATCCCGAGCATTGCTCCTGAAGAGTTTGATTTTAAATTAAGCAGAGGATGGTTCGAAAAGTTTAGGAAAAGAAGTGGGATACACTCCGTGATTCGTCATGGGGAGGCAGCCAGTGCAGACAAGGAAGCTGCCGAAAAGTTTAAAGTTTAAAGTTGAGTTTGAAAATCTCATCAAGGCCGAGGAATGTTTTCCCCAGCAAACTTTTTATATGGACGAGACTGGACTTGTGTGGATAAAGTGGTTCAGTAAATGGATGGAGGGATGTTACCTCATACCGTAGCATAGGATTGCAGAGAGTCCATAGTTACAGCCATTACTTTAGGATTTATTAGTTCAAGGTTTAAAATAATGTAATCTACAATTGTCACGATGAGAGAGATCGGGAAAGAGAGAGAGAGAGAGAGAGAGAGAGAGAGAGATGTTACTTGAATTTGTATGTTACAATGTTAATGTTTATGTTAAAATTGGTAAAAATAAAACATACAAAATGTTTGTACAGTTTGTTTGTACAGTATTTTACATATCATCTACTCTCTTATTACATGTGTATACAGTTTTTGTGTGAAATAGTTTTAAAAAATGCTTTAAAAAAAGTTGTTTTCTGGACTTGGAATGGATTAAAATTTATTACATTGACTATAATGGGAATCATTGGTTCGGTTTTCAAACAAATCAGTTTTCGTAAAGCCTTCTGGAACGGATTATGGACAAAAACCGAGGTTTGTGTGTGTGTGTGTGTGTGTGTGTGTGTGTGTGTGTGTGTGTGTGTGTGTGTGT